CCCCAAAACCCCAAAACCCCAAAACCCCAAAACCCCAAATGGTTAGAATCTGTAAATAATTGAAAGAAAATTGTGATTTAGTTTTAAATTATTAAAAATTACACGAACTTACTATCTAGGAATAATAATTAAGAATATGAATATCGAAAGTTTTGGCTGACTGTTATCTAATAAGGCAACCACAAAGCCTCAAACTTCTGCTTGAATTATTTTGTTATTTGTTCATTTTGCTTCTATTTGCTTCATTAGAGTCATAAATCTTTCACTGACTTCATCATGTCCCTCAAACTGAACATGGCTAATTCCATCTTGCAATCTTTTAGTTGCAGGATTTTAACGAATAGCATTGCTCATTTCATGGCCGTAATATTAAGTTATGTCTAGATACAGGTTGTAAACATTCTTAAAGAACTCTTCTGGCATGCCATCGATATTATCCAATAAACTGTTGATGTAATCTAACATACTCATTGCATATCCTTTGATTTATCTTTTGAAGGCTTCATCGATTCTGTTGTTGTGAATGCCGTGAATGATAGATATTAGAGCATCAAGGATAGCTATTTTGAGTCTGTTGATCTATTCATTGGTTGTGGAGTAGTTAGCTTCCATAACAGTAAGTTAGGCAGCACTCATTAAGCAGTCCATGCTTTTATTGAAGTAGGGAGAGAAGCTGTCCTCAATGGCTAGACAGATGTCGCCAACTGCAATCATAGCATGTTCCTTAGTCTCAGTACTGTGCTCATTTGAGACTAGAACGTCAATGAGAGCTTACATGAAGTCATCAGAGTATCTGCACATGTTCTTTTCAAAGTAATTAGCTAGGTCACTCACCAAGCCACAAGCCTGTCTGCTTGAGTTTTCATCCTCATAGAAGGACATAGCACTGAGAAGCCATGGTTTGACTACATTCATGTGCTGGTCAAATTTATCCTCAAATGCTACGATTAGTCCATGAAGGATAAATAAACAGCATGAGATCATCTTTCCATGTTGATGGATGATGTTTCCAACGAGAGCCAGAATGTTTCTAGCTAGATCGTCATTGACACCTTCTCTAAGCTTGATTAGCAAGATCTGGACAATTCCACCAATACCATTTTAGACATTCTCTAGTTGCTCTTTGTTCAAGAACTTGAATGAAGACTCAGCTGGGATAGTTGACTTACTCAGCTCTGTCAAGTAGAAAGTCAAGAACTCGTAGAGCTATTGCATTAGATCTGGAGTGAGTGAACAGCTCTCTTGAATAGTGTTGATGCCATCAATTACACTCTAGAGATGATTAGTTTTATGAATTTATTCCTGAGGAATAAGTTCAATTATCTTGGATAGAACATTGGCAGTATAACCAATAAGTCTCTCTCCAAGACCATCCTTAAGATTAGCAGTTTCATAGAGATTCGATAATCCCCCGACAAGCAGGGTAGAAATAGCTGGGTCTTCACAGAGATGAATCAGTGACTTATTAATGAACAAATCAGCTGTGTGCTGGCTAGAAAGAATGACCTCTGGAATGTTCTGAGCTAACTTATAGTATGCATAGGCCACTGATTGTCTCACTCTCTCGATGTTGTCATCAAGCATGTTAAGCAAGAAGTCATAGTTCTCGCTTATCATCTGAGGCAGCTTATCAGTGGAAGGAGGGTTGATTATTGAGGCAAGTGCAATGATTGCTACAAATCTGTCAGTCCACTTAGGAGAGCCAAGCTTAGGGCCGAAAAATTCTGAAACCACTTCAATGCAATCGTCACCCACCACTCTAGCTATAGATTCTAAAGCTAAACCAGCTGAAACAATACAGCAATTAGGAGGTAGTTCCTCCAATCCAGTATCTATTGAGTTCTCGTTAACTTTATCCAATCCAGTTAAGATGATCTTTATTACTGCATTTGAGTATCTTTAAATGATGCCTAAATGATTGATTCTGCGCTTTTGTCTCTTGTATTCGATCTCAGCAATAGTAGACCAGATTTCAATGGCCAATTTAGAAGCGAGATCAAATTCAGAATTGATTAAGTTAGCTGTTAATTCTCCAATTTTCTCAATATACTCTCCAATGAAATCATAGCTTTCTCTAGCAATCTCATTAAGAGCTTCCATTGTTGATTGCAATATGTCTTCATCTTGCACTGTCGATGCCAAGAATATCTTATCCATAATGAATGCTCTGTGCTATTCACTGCTGAAATTTCTGTATGTCAGATGAGCAGCTCTCGAGAAAGCCTTCATTGAAATGGCAGTAAGTTGTCTTTCCTCTGGGATAACGTTTTCGAGCAGAGCTCCAAAGATAAAGTTCATCTGATCGGGGTTGATATCTTAGGGGTCGATATCTTCGCAGATAAATCCAAGAGTCATTAAAGAGCCTAATCTTTCCAATAATTCCTGAGACTAAGCCATATTTTGTAGTTAGGGTATCAATTCTGGCCACATGTTAGCTGGGATCTCAAGTACTGCAATGGCTGCTACACAAGTTGCACCTGCCTTGATGACGTGCATCTCTCTTTGATCCTTAATCATTGAGAATAAAGCCTCCTTAATGTGAAATCTTGTCTCAGGATCTATATTTTCCCATATTCTAATGTCAACTTCATCCTAGTATAAATTAGCTCAAGCAAGAATTTACCTTTGTGGGGTTGAGTAGAGTATTTTTGAAGAGGACAGATGAGAGTTGGATTGAATGAGGAGATAAATCGCTGCTAAGCAACATGCTGACAAGAGTATACAAAAATTTGTTCTGAAAAGATCATTAATGTTACTAAAATTTACCACATCATTTTGCTTTAAAGATCTAATTTCTCTTTCAGTATTTTTACGGGTAACAGAATCTATGTTAAAAATAATTAGAATGAGTAAGATGTGTGATACCAGAAGACTAAGCAGCTTAGAGTAAATTTTGGAATCCTTCGTAGATAGAGATGTTCATTTGTAAGTAAAGGTCTAGTTTGCGCTATTTTAAATTTAAATTATGATTGATAATATATTCTCTCAGATTAATCAACTTTGTCAGGGCTGTATAGAACCAGCGGTCCAATTATTGATTAATTAATAAATTTGTACTTCCAAATCGTTTCTTAAATTTCTGATAGGGGTTTTGGGGTTTTGGGGTTTTGGGG